CCTTCATAACTTCTTTGTGTGTGTCCATTCTCTCTTTTGACACTGCCACCACTCTGGTTCAATCACTCATCACCTCACACCTGGACTACAGCAGTAACCTACTGTTTGGTCTCCTTGCCACAAATCTTCCATATTCAAGTCCATCTTCCACTCAGCTGTTAAAGAGATCTTCCCAAAAGTGCAGGTCTGACCATCTCACCCCTCCCTCCCTTCCTCCCTTAATAAACTCTAGTGGCTCCCTATAACCACTAGGATCAAATATAAAATTCTCTGTTTGACATTCAAAGCCTTTCATAACCTGACCCCTTCCACCTTTTCATTTTGTTACACTTTACACTCCCCTACCACATACTTTGTGACACTGGCTTCCTTGCTATTCACAAGAAAAATCATTTCCCATCTCTGGGCATTTTCATTGGCTGTCAGTCATACCTGGAATTCTCTCCCTCTTTCTTTTCCTCCTGACTTCCCTGGATTCCTTCAAGTTCCAGCTAAAATCTCACCTTTTACAGCAAGCCCTTCCCAACCTCTCTTCTCTCTCTTAATTACTTCTAATTTATCATATGTGTGTGTGTATAATTATGTTAATGATAAAAGAAACACAGACACCCTGGATCTATAATTTCAATTTACACCTTGACATTCTCTTATCTTATTGTATTTATAACCTATCCTATTAAGAAATTCCTTTCTCATATTAGGGTTAAACACATATGGAGACTATAATTTTGGGTTGACACAGACATCTTGAGTTGGGATTGCTCTAAATAGATAGTCTCCTTCAGCTTGTTCACCTCTGCGTTAAGAATTATTTTCTGACTCCCATGCATGCATGATTCTCTGGCTTAATGAGAATAAATAAACACATGTACAGCCTGATTCTGTTTGTTCCTTGTTCAAACCTTTGGTAAGGTAAACCCCATTCTGTTTGTTCTTGAAGAAAGCTTTGGCAAGGGGGAACCCCATTCTGTTTGTTGTTTGGACGAACCTTTGGTTAAGGGGGAAACTAATTCTGTTTGTTTCTTTGAACCAAACCTTTGGCAAATGGTTGACACAGTATTGAAAGGAAAACTCACTACATAACTGGTAACAGATCCTTCTTTAATATGGTTGGTATTATCTATCTAAAATTCAAGATCCAACGTTATATGTAATAGAGAATGACTACATGCCTTTCCAATAATATCTAGAATAATTCAAGGATAGTCATTATTACCACTATTATTTGACATGATGACACATATGAAAACCATAACGATAACATAAGAAAAATAAATTGAGGGAATAAATATAGGTACAGAGGAAACAAAGCTATTATTGCTTTTACACAAGATATGATAGTTTTTCTAGAGAACTTTGAAGAGTCAACTAAAATTAATTGAAACAACTTCATCAAAATTGTAGGATACAAAATTTACTACCACAAATTATTCTTTCTGTACATTGAAAAAAAAATCTGGTTGAATTAGATAAATAACATTCAAAATAATTACAGAATATAGAAGAGTGTCTTCCTACCAAGACATATACTGGAACTATATGAATACAAACACAAAACACTCTTTAGACAAATACAGAACCAAATAATTGGAGAAATATTAATTGTTCATGGTTTGGCCATGACAATATAACAAAAATAATAACATTACCTAAATTTATTTATTTATTTATTTAATACCATACCAATTAAATTACCAAAGAATTACTTTATAGATCTAGAAAAAGTAAAAACAAAATGCAAAATTAGGATTGTTAACAGAAGGCAGAGCCAAGATGTAAGCAATAGCAGTATGAAGTATAGTTCCTCAGGACTCATATACATGCATACATATATACATACATACATACATACAGTCTATCCTCCACTCAGGTGTCAAACCAATTATCCCAAAGCACAAGCATGACCATGTCATTAGCCCCTTCCCCATTCAATAAACTCTGGTGGCTCTCTATTGCTTCCAAGATTGAATAAAAAATCCTGTTTGGTTTTTAAAGCCTTTCAAAACCTGGCCTCTCCTACCTTTCTAGCCTTCTTATAACTTATCCACTCCCATGTACCCTGCAAATCCAGTAACACTATACTCCTTGCTTTTATTTGACCTACTATGTGTAAAGCACCATTGGGGGCTATACAATGATGAAAAACAACCACTTCCCTCAGAGGACTTAAATTCTTTTGGAAATTTTATTGGATAAGATTTTGGTTAGTTGCATATCCAAAGTTGCATATTAATATAGGAACAACTTTTTCAGTGTTAAAGTATGCTAGTTTTTAGCTTAGCAAGATTGCTTTTCAGCTACAATCAGTGCCTTTTAGTTTAAAATATTTGTTCTTCAATTCATATCTCCTAAAAATGAAAGAACAAAACCAAGTAAGTACCTGTCATTTGCTATATGTTAAACTAGTTAATGTGCACAGTGAGACCGTGTTCAATGAATCTATCAAATGAGCAACATATTAGACACAAGCTGATGTTCTGTTTGCATGTCTTTATGTTCAAAAGAACAAATTGCAGATTTAAGATAATTGGATACTCATCAAATTATTTAATGATGTGAAAGTTCACCAAGGCTAAGCTATAAAGCTAGTATCATATCTTCTTAACTGCAGTTATTCTTTGAAAATATGCCGAACAAGCCATTCCCCAATAGATAGTCAAGGAATATTAACAAACAGTTCTCAAAAGAATAGCAAAGTATTCAACCATATGAAAAAATGCCCCAAATTGCTAATAAAAGGTGAAATGTGAATCACAACAATCCTGAGATTTCACTTCACACCCTACAAATTGGCAAAAATTACAAAAAAAGTGACAATAGGTATTGTTGGAGGGGTTGTGGATAGGTATACAACTAGTACATTGTTGGTGGAGCTGTGAAATGGTACAATCATTTTGGAAAGCAGTTTGTAATTATAAAGTGACTAAAATATCCATGCCCTTTGAACCAGAGACTCTATTACTACCCAAGGAAGCCATATACACCAAAATATTTAAGGTTGAGCTTTTTGTGATAGCAAAGAATTAGAAACAAAATAGATGCCTATCAACTGGGGAATGCTAAACAAATTTTGGTCCACAAATATAATGGAATGTTACTATGCAGTTAAAAATGATGTGTGATGAATACAGAGAAGCATGGAAAGATCTATATTAACTGATTCAGAGTGCAGTAAGCAGAGCCAAGAAAGCAATACACACAATAACCACAACAATGTAAACGGAAAGGACAGCTACATACCAAAAAATCATACCACAAAAGTGAATGTAACAAAATTGTAAAAATCCAGCAGGATGTAAACAAAGAGATATGAGAAGATACCCCTTAACCCACCTCTCCAAGAGGGAGGGAGGTCCACAGGTGATACATTACACATATTTTCAGACTTTTTTTCAATATATTAGTTTGCTTATTTTTTTTCCTCTCTACAAAATACCATTTGTTATATGGGTTGGGTCTCTGGGAGGGAAAGAGAGATGGATACTTGGGATAACTATGGTGATGTAAGAAACAGAAAATATCAATAAAAACATTTAAAATTTTTAAAAATCTTTATTTACCCTTTAATACTTTTTCAGAGGTTATAGGGATTAGGACTAGGACTAGACCTGTAATTTCATTAGTGTAAGTAGCTCTAGCTGAGGAACTTCCTCCACCAATGCCACACCTTCTCTGAAACCTGTAGCCTCAGAGTTGCTGAGATCATGGAGAGGTCAAGTGACTGGTCCAGGGTCATATGTCAATACATGTAATCGATTGGACTTGAATTCAGGTCTTCAGGGCTTTGAGGCCAGGTCTCTATCCACCACACCTGAGTGTCTCTTTATAAGATGATTCACATTATCATCTTCCATTATCCTTCTCCATAAAGTCTTACAAATGAGTTTATATTATAAACTAGTGTTTTCTTTGGCTGCAATCTCTACACTTGGCAAGTCAAGTGTTTGCTGACTACACCTCTTAGGCTCTTTTGGTTTTATGCTATTGTAATTTATTTTCATCATTTAAACCACTGTATGAAATTGTACTATTTGTCTATGTCCTTTTCACCCATCATAAATAATTTAATTAAATATGTCAGTACAGGATTGTTTTAATTGCGTATCTTTATGCAGCTGGCATAATGGATAGGACACTAGGCCTAGAGTCAGGAAGACAAATTCAAATCCAGGCACTTACTAGCTATGTGACCTTGGGCAAGTCACTGAACCTCTGCCTCTGTTTCCTCAACTGTAAAATGGTGATAATAATACCATCTATGTTCCAGAGTCATGGTGAGGATCAAATGGGGTATTTGTTTAAAAAAAAAAATGCTCAGCACAGTGTCCACCTCATAGTAAGTTCTCTATAAATGCTTAGTTCCTTTCTCTTCCCTTATCTTATTTTTAATTCTTTATTCTTTTTGTCTTTGTTCTTTCTGATTACTAGAATGACAGTATTCAAGTAGCTAATTCAAGAATTACCCCCACATTAGTAAGGAGTCATTTCCTATCTGTTAAAATCAATTTCATTTAAAAAAAAAAAAAAGAAAACATACTGAACACTCAAATCCCAAATGAGTTTTTAATGAAAAGTTTGTTGTTGTTGTTTTACCCCCTGAAAATGTGTTCTCTTCTTACAAACTAAATATTTTTTAGACCTGAGATTTTTGGTCATCTGGTACAATCCCCTTTTCAAAATAAGTAAATTGTACAATTAGAAAACTTCGGCCTAGAATTGAGTAACTTGCCCAAGGTCAAAGTAGCAGAGTCTGATCCAATTTGAACCCAAGTCCTTTGATTCAACTGATCTACTTAGGAGATGTTAAAATTCTCAAACCCAGTCCCTTAACTTTACAGATTTTACCATGTAAATTCAAAGTCTAAATTTCAGGTACGGGACACCTAGGTGGAGCAGTGTGTGCCAGGCTTGGATTCAGTAAGACATTTCCCCGAGTTTAAATCTGACCTCACTTACTAGCTATGTGACCCTGGGGAAGTCACTTAACCCCGTTTGCCTCAGTTTCCTCATCAATAAAATGAACCAGAGAAGAAAATGGCAAACCACTCCATTATCTCTGCCAAGAAAAGCCCAAATACGGTCGGCCTGTCAGAAACGACTCATCAAAATCCAGTGCTTCTTAGGAAACAACTTTCTGAATGAGCCAACAATTCCTGCCAAATCAAATTATTGTGAAAAGGGTTACCTAAAACTTCCCACTTGCAAAAAACAAATTGATTTTCGTAAGTTGCATTGGTTGAAACCCCCTTCACCTAACAAGCTTCGGGGCTGAGCACACTCTCCTGTAACAGGAGAAATTCAACTAAACGTTTCCCATACTTACTCCCAAAGCAGGAACTGTTTATTATTTAGTGTTCAGTCATGCAGCTCCTAGAACACGCAAAGGTTAAGTAACTTGTTCCGGATTAGAGAGACCGACGCCACACACAGCCTTAATTACAGCAATTCTGTGAAAATGGAAGTGGCTCTTAAAAGAGCCTTTTGTGTTGTGTGCAGAGACTGTCTACTTGGAACTGGTGTACTTGGTGACGGCCTTGGTGCCCTCAGACACGGCGTGCTTGGCCAGCTCCCCGGGCAGCAGCAGGCGCACGGCCGTCTGGATCTCCCGGGACGTGATGGTGGAGCGCTTGTTGTAATGCGCCAGGCGGGACGCCTCTCCGGCGATGCGCTCGAAGATGTCGTTGACGAACGAGTTCATGATGCCCATGGCCTTGGATGAAATGCCCGTGTCAGGATGGACCTGCTTCAGCACCTTGTACACGTAGATGGAATAACTTTCCTTGCGGCTGCGTTTGCGCTTCTTGCCATCTTTCTTCTGCGCTTTAGTTACTGCCTTCTTTGACCCCTTTTTAGGAGCTGGAGCTGACTTCGAGGGTTCAGGCATTTTCTTTTCCTCTTGAAAACTAACTCTCACGACAAGATGTGAAAATGAGAGTTTCCTTCTATTTATAGGCCCAATATGCAAATAAGGACTCAAGTGCCGGTTCTTTCTGATTGGAAGAACAGTAGAGATGGCGTCATAAACCAGAAAATCGCATGTAAATGAGCAGATTTTAATTCTATTCTCCTATTGGCTGCTTTATTTACACAGCTTCGTAGCCAATCAGCTGGTCAAAGGTACTGTCTGAAAACCTATAAAAGGACCGCTATTGACATTTTCTTACTATCTCGGCGAGTTTTTACTTTTGTTTAGTGTTTTACAGCTTTCTGTACCTACACATCGCTAAGATGTCTGGACGTGGCAAACAAGGAGGAAAAGCTCGCGCTAAAGCTAAGTCAAGATCTTCCCGAGCGGGTCTCCAGTTTCCAGTAGGTCGTGTTCACAGGTTGCTGCGTAAAGGCAATTACGCTGAAAGGGTTGGGGCCGGAGCACCGGTGTATCTGGCTGCTGTTTTGGAATATTTGACTGCTGAAATTTTAGAGTTGGCGGGAAATGCAGCTCGGGACAATAAGAAGACCCGTATTATTCCCCGCCACTTGCAGCTGGCTATCCGTAACGATGAAGAACTTAACAAGTTGTTGGGGAAAGTGACCATCGCTCAGGGTGGTGTCTTGCCTAACATTCAGGCGGTGCTTCTGCCAAAGAAGACGGAGAGTCACCATAAAACCAAGAGCAAGTAAAGTAGCTAAGTTCGGGGGCCCGGGAGAAATCTCCGAAACCAAAGGCTCTTTTCAGAGCCACTACACAACTTCAGAAAGAGCTTGTCACATGTAGCCGTTGTTTGGATAAAAAAGTGATTTAGTAAGGTAAGAAATGCAGATTTAACTATTTTCTAGACTAGACTAGTTCAAGTTTGGGAGTGTTAAGGGATTAAGCTAAAACTTTACGTCTTGAGTTTATTAATCTGGTTATTTGCCAATCTTTAAGGAAAGTTTTAAATTTGATCCTGTAATCTTAGTTAGGCCTTGCTTTCTTTTAACATCCGGAACCAATGCTTTCGTATTTATAGGGAACCGAAAGTGACAGGGGGAACAAATGTCGAGTGGTTAAGCAGGCAGCTCACTTGGGAAAAGAGTACATTGCTTATTTTTTCAAGCTATTATGTTGTATTGGTACTAGAGACCATTACTTCTATTAAAAACATTTTCCCCCAGTTCTACCCATTAACCCCGCAAATAAATAGCATTTGTGCTAGCATTCCTCTTACCTTCACTTTCTCAGGCCATAACTAAGGTGGCGGGAGGGGATGGTCCTTGAAGACCTGAACGACGCATAGCCTGTACTTGCCTATACTTTAGGCGTTCGGGCTGGGGTGATGGGGTAAATATTGGATTGCTTAATAGTACATTCTGCCAGTGCTTGCAACTCCTTAAGGTCCAGAGGGCATGTGTAGGAGGTTCTGAAGGGAAATGTTTGATGGGTAAAAAAATTTTTTGGCAGCCTGGGTTTTAAGTGACTTGCCTAGAGTCACACAGCTAGTAAGTGTTATGTGTCTGAGGCCAGATCTGAACTCAGGCCCTCCTGAATCCAGGGCCTGTGCTCTATCCACTGTGCCACCTAGCTGCCCCTGGGTGTTCTTATTCTTAATAAAATTATGATTAATGACCTACAGACTTTTGCACAGACGTATAAAGTCCAAAATTTCTTCTCTGACCTTGGTAGAAACGTTTGTTTCTTGCACCACCCCCATTAGGGTATCCTGTGCAAGAACTACATTTGCTGAAATGAGCTAAGCACAATGAGCATTTTGACTAAATACAACCAGTTTAGCAGAAATAGACCTTAAGGAAAATACCCAAGTTAAGAAGTTGAAAAGAGAATGGGTAGGCAATGAAAGACTAGTTCTTAGGGGTAGGAAAGGAATCGGGACAGTATGTTGTCTTCTTGGCATTTTAACCATGCCCGTTTCTCTCTTACCTTCAGGAGGTCAAGTAGGATGACTGAAAAGTACCATTGCTTTGAGGCATTGAGAATGATGACCTTAAAACTATAAAGTGGTGGGGATACAAGAACAATTGCAAGGTATCAGATCCTGCAAATTAAGAACTACTTTTTCCTTTCTTGGTACAACTTTTCTACTCTGCTCCCTGCCAACTTTAGAATTGAAACCCTTGGAAAGGTGAGAATATTGGTTGTTCTGGGTACAAAAGCAGTCATCTCTGTGAGTCTCAGACACATCTTTCTGATTGGGTCAGTGACCTGAGCTGAGATCTAGGTGTCTTCATTCATTTAATCATCAAAGAAAAAAAATTATTTGCTTCCAGTTCTGTTACCACTGTACACTTTTCATATACATGAAAAGAGGCAGCTGGCAAAAAGCCATCTTTTTTAAATATGACTTTCTCTTGTATTCCATTAACACCTAAATTTTCTCTATGATCCTTAATTCCTTTATTTCCTTTTTACCTAATTAAATCTCTTCTTCATAGTCGGGGTAAATTGATATTCAAGAAAGGCCTCACAGTTGCTATTCTGTTCTCTAGGATTCTTTTTCAGAGTACAACCTTCATGCTTAGCTAATCCACAAATGAATAATAGCTGGGGGGGGGGGCAGGGATGGCTAGGTTGGCAATAGACATTTGTTGAAAAATAATGAGACATTGAAGACCTTAACACCTGATCTTAAGGACCTTTTTATTAGGATGTAAAGTCCATGAGGACAGGTCCTTTTTTTTTTTTTAACCTTTACCATTTAGCACAGTGCATGGTATATAGAAAGCACTCAAATACTTTTTGATACACCTAAAAGAGGGCATTATTCTATATATGCAAAACTGTTATTTTAAGTGCTTTGACTTTTCCACAATTTCTCCTTTAAAGAAAAAAAATAATAATTCATATTTATATAAGACTTTAAGATTTACAAAATACTTTTAGGGGCATCTAAGTGGCACAATGGATAGGGTGCCAGGCCTGGAGTCAAGAAAACCTGATTTCAAATCCAACCTCAGCCACTTAATAGTTATGTGACCTTGGGCAAGTCATGCAACCTCTATCTGCCTCAGTTTCTTCATCTGCAATATGGGGGTAATAATAACACCTACCTCCTAGAATTGTTGTGAGGATCCATTAAGATTAAAATTGTAAAGCACTTGGCACAGTGCCTAGCACATAGTAAATGCTATATAAATGCTAGCTATTATTCTTACTTTCCCCACAACAACCATGTGAAATAAGTACGGGTTTTATACTCTTTGTATTAAAGAGGAAGAAACTGAAGCTTTTAAGGGACTTTGCCTAAGGCCACACAGCCAGAATAAAACCCTGTGTCCAGATCAACTTTAAGTCAATTCCTGTTTCCAAAAAATCATAATGCACCAGTGAGAGAAGAAATGTAGTGCTGTAGAAAACACAGAGAATACCCAGCATTTAACCCTGAGTGTGCCATGTTACCTTAGACAAATTACTTCACCTCTCTGAGACAGCTTCATTATCTAGAAAATAATATGTAGCATAACATAACATAACATAATGCCCTTCCATGGTCCCTTCTAGCTCTAAATCTATGATTCTATGATCAATGCCTGTGTACATTGTCTGACTTCGCTGCTGTTTATGACACTCAGTACTCTATTTCCTGACTCTGGACATTTTCACCGCCTGCCTCCAGCCCTAAAACTGTCCCTCCTCATCTCTACTTTGTTTCTCTCAAGTCTCAGCTAAGGTCCCACCTTAGAAACCTTCCCAGTTCTCCTTAATCTTAGTTCCTTCTCTCTGAGATTATCTCCAATTTACCTTTACATATATCCCATTTGTGCACAGTTGTCTGCATGTTATTTCCCCTATTAGACTGTGAACCTAAGGACGGGACTTTCTCTTGCCTTTGCTTGTAGTCCCTCGAACTTAGCACAGTGCCTGGCATATAGTGGGCGCTAAATAAATACTTGTTGACTGACTATTTGGAATGAAAACCATTGCAGAAACTCCACCAAATTCTTAGCTCTTTGAGAGCATCTGTATCCCAAGCACTCACGGTGTCTGGCACATATAGCAGACACTAATGAATGCTTATTGACTATCTACCTTGAAATAATGTTGAAATAATAATGAAATGAAATAATACTTGTATAAAATAATAGATAAATGCAATTATTCCTATTAGTGATGAGAGCAGAAATGTTTCAAAATCATTACAATTATTTTTCTTCTTTACAGAAGAACCTGACTTGCATGGGCACTGGAGGTGGAAAAGTTGGTGAGTGATCAGGAAGTGATCAGGAATTAGCCACCAGGTGGCACTCCAAGCTCCAGCTGCAGTCTTCTGAGTGTCTGGCATTTGCACATGGCCAGATCACCTAAAATGGAGACATTCAGGTGGGACCATCCTCTGGGAGAAGACATGCTGAGTTCTCCTACCACATGGACAGGGAGCAGCCTCTTTGCTTTGGCTGCTAGTTGTAACTCTACTTAAGAATTCACATTCTGATGAGGATTATATTTGTAAAGAACTTAGCACAGTGCCTAGAACATAGTAGAAACTTAATAAATGCTTATTCCGTTCCTCAAGCATAGGTCTGGCTATGCCACGAACATTGTTCCTCCAGCCCATTCAAAATACACTCCAGTGGCTCCCTGTTATTTCCAGAATTAATATAAGCACCTTTTTTTGGCTTTCAAGATCTTCACAATCTGGCCATTTTCTGGTCTTCTTACATTTTGCTTCTCACCATGCATACTGTGGTTAAGCCATACTGGTTTGTTTGCTGCTCCTAATGTGACACTCATCTCCCAATTCCTTGAATCTACAGTGGTTGTCCCCCCATTCATAGGATACTCCTCCTCATCACCTCTGCCTCTTAGAATCCCAACACTAAGGTCAAATACCACCTTTTGCAGGTGACTTTTTATGGCCCTCCCAGCTAACAGTGCCTTTCCCCGTAAGTTTTTCTTCCATCCACTCTGAATATACCTTGGACATACCTATTTATATTTATATGCAAGTTGTCTCTATTAGAATGTGAGTTCCTTGAGGACAGGGAATGGTTTGTTTTTTGTTTTTTTCCCTTTTATTTGTATCCGCATATAATAAGTACTTAATGCTTTTTGATTGATTTATTTCTACAAAGGTATCAAATATAAAATAAGGGCATATCATAAGAGACAGATTTTCATTCCCTCTGGCACAGAAACTTTGTAAGACAAAAAATATTCAGAGGCACACATTAATAAATTCAGGAAACACTCAGATTGCTCATTACATTCATTCTACTGCCCCCAAAAGGTAAAGACCCTTTGTGGTACTGTTGAATAAATGATAACATTCATCCTGAACTGTACTATCTGCAGAATTATAATGGAGAGTTTACAAGGTCCAGATCCTCTGGCCCCTGATCTCATGTATTTTCTGTCTGTAGAGCAATCCAAAGAAATCTCTCTCCCTCTATAGCCAGCACTTGACTATAGAATTTAAGAACTCTTGAACTCAGGATTACCCATGAGTTAATCCTCAAGCCTGGAAATACCTATTTCTCAGGATCTCTAATCATTGACCCATTCTCAGAAAATGAAAGAAAGGCATAAGAAGGCAGCCAAGACCACAAGGTCTAGAGACTTCAGTCTCGGGCTCACCTGAGCAAGTACATGTCTCTCATTGCTACTTTTTCTGCTGTAAACTGCCCCTACTATACTCCAGCCTAGAAGTTCAAGAGGGAGAAAGTATAAGAAAAGGATCCCTGTCTTTGACCACACGTATCCTCATCTTCACCCTGGTCATTTTCTGCCTTGCTGCTTCCTCTACTCCACACTCTAGACCTCCAGAGACCCAACCCAGAAGACCTAAGGCACTCTGTTCTGAATTCCTTGGAGCCTTATGTTCTCATCTTCACTACAGCCATTTTACACCAACACATTACTGTGATTATTTTATAAGAAATGAATATCTATATAATGTTACATTATTTTAAGCTTATATTTCAGATTGGTTTGCATATTAACATAATTGTAATAAATTCTTTAAATAAAAAAAAAGGTGGTGTTAAAATCCAGATCTTTCTCCTTTCTATGATGTGACTTTAGTACTTCTGCTTTAGGGAGCCACATTAAAGATACTCTTCCTTCTCTAAGAAGCGCACTTTGAGGAAATGTCTACATGCCTATGGCCTAGACTTTTGAACCTGGAGTTACTTATAAGGCAACTCCCAAAGCTCTCATTGGTGAAGAATTCTCACTTTTCTAGTTAAAAGACTAAATTCTCAGATCATGTTACCTTGAGAATTCAAAATACTTCCTCCTCCAGACAAGAACTTTTACCATAAACTATATTTTCAGGTCACATGAATATATGTATGTTTGACTCTGCCATGTGTTTCAACCATCACCCCAGTAAGCTGCCATCTCTTGGATTAGGAAAATACACTATCAGGTTTCCAGTACATGACTTATACCTAGAAAAGGAAAACAATCCACAAACATTTGTTAAGTACCTACTATATGCCAGGCACTATGCTAAGTGTGGAGGATAAAAAGAAAGGAAACAACAACAGCAACAACAATGCCAACAACACCTCTGCTCTCAAAGAATTGACAGTCTAACGGAGGAGACAATATTCAAACAACTATATACAAATAAGCTATATCCAGAACAAATTGAAAATATTTAACAGGGGGATGTCATTAAGATTAAAGACTGGGAAAGACTTTTTGCAGAAAGTGGGACTTAGCTGAGACTTGGAGGAAACTAGGTGAGTCAAGAGGTAGAAATGAGGAAGAGGAGGGTTCCCGGCATGAGAGGGAATGGGGGGCGGGTCAGAGAAAACGTCCAGTAAGGAGAGAGTATCATGTTCCAGGAATACCAAGGGGGCTAGTATCACTGGATCACAGAGTACATGGAGGACAGCAAGGTGTAAGGAAACTGGAAAGATGGAAGGACCTGAGTTATGGAGAAATTTGAATGTCAAACATTTTATTTTTCGTACTGGAGGTAAGAGAGAGTCATCAGTTTACTGAATAGGAGAGTAACATGGTCAGAAATGTACTTAAGAACAATTTAACAACTGAGTGGGGAAAGACGAGGCAGGGAGAACAACCAGATGTTTATTTCAATAGTCCAAGTGTGAAGTGATGATGTCCTGCACCAGAGTGGTGGCAATGTCAGAGGAAAGAAAGAGCCATGTAGGAGAAATGTTACAAAGTGATGAAGGGAGAAATTACAAAACTTGACAAATGTCTGGATATGTGGTGAGGGGGAGAGAGGAGGTGTGAAAGAGTAAGGAAAGCAAAAAATGACCAGGAATTTCACATTCAAGGACTCCCTTCTTAAACTTCTCAGGGAAATACATGCAGTGAAAGCCCTGTGTTTCTGTGGTACTGATTGCTGGGAGAGGGACCTGCAAGACGTGAAAAAATATTCTGGAAGAAAATTCAAGGGGTAAAATGAAGAGGTAAGAAAGCATATTGGCCTGCCAACTCATCTTTATTAACCAGAGAGGAGTGACACTTTGAACAAGCGTCTATCTTCTTGAATGTCTGTTACCAATCATCAGGGGTTTTCTGTGCTCTCTCAGCAGAGCACTAGCTCTGAAACAAAGGCTTATGCCCTATAATTTCATCAGGTTGATAAGTCATAAAATTGAAAAAGGACTGTCCATGTCAAACCACTTTACATAGTTTCCCCAGTTAACTACTTTCTGTCACAGCAAAATAAACTGGGGTGGATGCTCTAAGACTAGAAATTACTTTGGGACACATTAGTCTATATGGGGCAGGTAGGTGGCACAGGAAGACCTGTGGAGTCAGGTGTTAAGTGTCTGGCCTCGGACACTTACTAGCTGTGTGACCCTGGGCAAGTCACTTAACCCTACTTGCCTCAGTTTCCTCATCTGTCAAAAAAAAAAAAGAAAAACGAGCTGGAGAAGGAAATGTTAAACCACTGCAGTACCTTTGCCAAGAAAACCCCAAATGGGGTCACAAAGAGTCAGACACAACTGAAAAACTGAACAATAACAAGTCCGTATCAATTCTAGATAGGTCCTTGGTAATTTGAGGATGCTCCAGTAGTTTCCCTCTTCTTTTTGTCTCCCCTAGAACTGTGCACCAAGTCCTAACAATGTTTATGATTCAGTTTTTAGACATTCCAAAAATTGAGGTCCCACACCTCTCATAGCTGGTAGGATTACATTCACTGCCAAATTCAGTTACATAAATTGAACCAGCAAACAAAATTTTATTAAGTTCCCATATACTCGTATATGCTTCAGAGCTTGTAAGGACCTGACCCAACCTCACTGCCAACAAAAAATAATTAGAATAGAAAAAATAATAAAAGTAAAACAAAAATAAACCTAAAAATAGGTCAAAAAGTGAGGGGGAAAAGTTTCCCCTCTCAGAGGGAAAGCTGTATTTCAGATGTCAAGTCTTAGGCAGAGAAGTGTCACAGTAGATAGGTAAACTACCAAAATATTTGGGACTCTTCCCAAATGGCAATTGGACTCAGGATAAATTGAAAGTTAATCTTTCTCACTCAGATGTGAAATCAAGGTACCCTGGATGAAAATTCCTTCAGTAGATCACTGCGGAATGTAGAGCAATCCAAAATAAAGGACCTAGATGCACACTTTTGCTTCCAGCCCTCCAAACACTAGAATGTGAGAATTATATCTAGACCCCAGAATCTGTAGTAAGTCTTATCTCTTAAAATCGCACAATGAATTCAGAACCCTTGTAAAACAGCTCTTTAAAAGAAATAGTGGCGGCCCTGAAAAGAGCCTTAGGAGAGATTGGGGAGGAGAGAGGGGTAAGGAGGGGAAAAGAGCAAAGTTGTTCTTTTTTTGAAGACAGGCCGAAAACTCAACCACCGAAACCATAGAGAGTGCGGCCCTGACGTTTGAGTGCATACACCACGTCCATGGCAGTCACAGTCTTCCTTTTGGCGTGCTCAGTGTAAGTCACGGCATCGCGGATAACATTCTCCAAGAATACCTTGAGCACCCCACGGGTTTCTTCATAGATGAGCCCCGAGATCCGCTTGACGCCGCCACGCCGAGCAAGACGACGAATGGCAGGTTTGGTAATGCCTTGGATGTTATCCCGCAGCACCTTCCTATGCCGCTTGGCACCCCCTTTCCCCAAACCTTTGCCTCCTTTACCGCGCCCAGACATGGCGAAAAGGACAGCGAAAAGAACAGAAATCAGAATAATGAATGGCAAGCGCGGGAAGAACGCCTTATATAACCTAGTGCGGACCTATTAGAAAACTGAAAGTGAGTTGGGGGGGAGAAAGATGGCGGGGGGAGAGGGAGGAAAGGAGGGGCGGAAAAAAAAAATCTACCGTAGTCTCCACCCCTATGCTATCTATTATTAGTTCCCTCAACGAAGTATGGGAAAAGATGACCAATAGAATTCGACCACCACATCTTGTAATGGGAAATAAAACTACTTTTGCCAAGAAAACGTCTTGATTGGTGCTAGATTCTAATCCTCATTTTTGCTTAAGTCACAGAAACACTATTAGATCACTTCCAATAAAACGAAAGTATCTTTTTTTTTTCAGGTTTTCCAAGCTATATGGAGCGTGACTAAGAACAAAACAAATCCTTAATTTAAATTATACATATGAAAAACAATGCATAATATTAACTTATGTAATTCTATACTGTAAGATGTGGTTGCATTGTCAATTGGTTTTACTTGTGTTCTTTGCTTCAAGGGAGGGATTAATGGCAGAAGAATTAGGAAGTGGTTGCAAAGTCTATTCACGCAGGAATCATATTTTTAATGTAAATTATGTATCGTTTTTATGTACCTCCCAGCATCATGCTGTTCTTCCCATAGTATTTAATAAATGTTTACTAAATTTGCTCAAAAACAACCTTTAAAATAAATTTGTGCGATTTAGCTGAAATATAATATTTTCCACTGTAACTGATCAAAACAATCAAGCATTTTAAGTGGTTACTATATAACCAGCACTGTGGCAGTGTCTGTAGACACAAAAGCAACAACTAAATAGTCTGTGTAATAAAGGAGTTTACATTCTGTTCTAATTATATACAAAAATATCTGGAGAGCTAGCTTGGGGAAAAGCCACAGAACTGTGCCCAAATGGGGGGGGGGTGGATTCTTGCACTTGAGAAACAAAGCCAGTTTGGCTGAACTGAAGGGGAGTAAAATATAAACCTGGAAAAACAGTTTGGAACCAGATTTTGAAGGGCTCTAAATGACAAATAGAACACTGCATTTGATCTTAGAACATGAGTTCTACATCTTTTTCATGTCACAGATCCCTTTTGGCAGTATCCTAAAAACCATGGACCTTTTCTCAGAATATTTTTAAATGCATAAAAAAGGAGAAGAGGGATAAGCATTTATATAGCACCAACTATGCGTCAGGCACTGTGTTAAGTGCTTTTACAAATATTTCATTTGATCCTCACAACAGCCCTTCCAGGTAGGTGCTGTTATTATCCCCATTTTACAGTTGAGACAACCCAGTTAAAGGTTTAGTGACTTGCTCAAGGTCATACAGATAGTAAGTCTCTGAGGCTGAATTTTAACTCCGATTCTCCTGACTCAAAACCCAGTGCTCTATCTACTGCATCACCAGCTGCTTCTAAAATACATTACATTACAAATACATTGCATTACAAAGGAAACCAAACATATTGAAATAGTTATCAATAAAGATGCATAATATACATAAATTTATTAAAGTTCATGGACCCTGGTTAAGAACCCCTGTCCCAGAGACCCAATGGAAGGAAAGAATGGAGGATACTGAGTGGATCACATGGTCAGACCTACATTTTGGGCATATCACTTTGGCAGCTGTGCAGAAGGTCAACTGGAAATGGGTGAGACTGAAAGGAGAACGGACAATTAGTCAGATGTTGCAATAATCCAGGCAAAAAAAGTGATGAGAACCTGTACTAGGCTAGTGTCCATGTGAATAAAAAAAGAGAAGAAATGTTGTGGAGGCAATATCTTCAGGAAATGGCAACTAATATGTGGTAAGGGAGAATAAGAAATGAATATTGACATTTTCAGCCTGGGTGGCTAGAAGGTTGGTGATCCCCAATACAGAGACAAGGGTTTTAGGAAGAGGAAGAGATAAAGAATTCTGCTTGGGACATGTTGAAAATGAAACCCCTACAGGACTCCCAGTTTGAAATATCCAATAGATAATGGGTCCTGTGGGACTAGAGCTCAAGAGAGAGACTAAAACTGGATATATTTATATAGGAATCTGCATAAGGATGATAATTGAATTCATAGGAGCTGATGAGGTCACCATGACAGCGCCAAGGACAGAACCTTGGGGCACAGTCACAGTTAGGTGACATACTATAGATGATGATCTAGTAATGGAAACTGAGAGGGAGAAGTCATATAGGTAGGAGGAGAATAAAAAGAGAACATTATTCATAAAAGCCCAGAGAGGAAAGAATATTCAGGAGGAAAAAGTGATAAACATTGTCAATGGATAGAGAGTAATAAATCATGACAAGGACTGAGAAAGACCACTTGCCGGAGTAATTAAGAAATTGTTAATTTTAGAGGGAATAGTTTCAGTTGAAACTAGGTAAAAAGCTAGACTAGCTAGGTAAGAAGAGAAACGAGACCAAGAGGAGGGAATAAGCTTTTTCTAGAGTTTGGCTGTGAAAGGGAGAAATAAAGGACGATAACTTAAGAAGATGGTAGTGTCAAGTGAGGGTTTTTAAGGATGGGGAAAACCTGGACATCTTTTGTAGGCATCAGGAATGAGACAGGAGACGGGGACAAATTTGAGAGAGGGAATAATCGTGATGGTAAGAAACTAGAAGGAATGCCTTCAAAGTACAAATGTAAGAGTTGGCCTTGGTGAGGCAGGCTACCTCTCCATCAGAGATAGGCATGAAGTACTAGAGAATGAGGGTGATGTTAACAGATTTTGAGATATAAAGGAGAGGGGAAGAGGACAAGAGAACCTCAGCAAATGGCCTCTGTTTTCTCAATAAATATGAGATGAAGTCCTCTGCAGAAAAAAGGGTAAGAGTGGGTTGTGAGGAAGTCATAGGAAAGGAGGTTGATTCAAACAACCATTTAGTTTCCACTTCGATACAGAATCAATGTAGCGCTTATTCATCTGCTATCCAGTTCCCCATCAGACTAAATGACAGGCTCAAATACTTTCTTTTTCAAATATACATCATCCAGATATTTTTATTACAATTATTTCATTCAAATCATCATTGGTAATATGCTTAACCTATTTACTATACCCATCATGTTTCTTCATTGATCTTTGTATCATATACAATTTTGACTCCATAAATTTGATGCTTTGTGATTGGTAGCCACATAAGCACCATCTAAAGAATGCCAGGGACTTTAGGGAACAGATACTTGAAAATCCCCAAATTCAATTCATTCTGTTGTCTTTCTCCAATTCAATTCTGGACCAAGCTTATTGCCTTTCTGTGGTTTCTGCCCAAAAATATTTTCTGATGAAACATCCAATTATAACATATAATATCATGGACAAGAGACATTGTTCATCTGATTGGTTTTTCCTATTCAGATTGTTCAACAGAACCCTTTTGAACGGTTTTAGACCTCATTAAGGAGGCTATTTGGTATTATGGAGTTTAATGCCATCAGCACCATGTCACCTACAAACACGAAAATCCAGAAGACCTCACCATCTACAGGGAAATTGCTCTTCTATCTAGACTGCATGCTAGACACTCTCCATTAACAGTGGTAAACACCTCTGGTAAGTTTCTCTTTATTCGTTATGCTTCATTTGATATTCACAGGACTGCAGCACAAAATTATCTCTACTGTTGTATCTTTCAAGAAATCTTTTATGATTTGAACACATGTATAGGTGATTGTAATAAAAGATGCTCCCATAAAATGCAAAAGGAACTAATATAAGTCATCTTGTCTCTCTCCTTGGTAGGAACTGGAAAAAACTCACTGATCTACAGCTATTAGAATGGCCAAGATACAGATAGGACCCTTAAAGCAGATAGCCAGACATGACACATGCACAGCATCAAGCCTAGCCTAATACAAATCCTATCTAGGGTTTCATAAGGGGCTCCTGGAATTGTTTCCAATTTTTGGAATAGGAGCACTCCAAAATCAGGAGAATCCATTGTTGTTTAGTTCCTGGATGTTACTAAACTAATTAAAAAACACTGACAAATCAACTTTAGACACTTATTAGCTGTACGACCCTGAGCAAGTCACCAAATCTCTGTCTGCTTAAGTTTCCTCATCTATAAAATAGGAATAATAAGAGCACCTGGGGTTGTCATGAGAATAAAATAAGATAATGTTTGTAAAATACTTTACAAACTTTAAAATGCTATATAAATGGTTATCATTATCATCAACATTATTATCATAATTCATACTCAAGAGTTAATGTCTTACTTGAGCACTCACATTGTTAAGGTATGGCTATTGTTATTTTATTCCTTTAATAGATGCAATTAAAAGTAACAATACAAAATTCTTGTGATACTATATTGGTATTTGTTTGCATCAAAAATTATTCCAGGAGATGATTTTGTGATTTTCAGTGAGCTTCCCGTTTGGCTGGTGAATTTTCTTGCTTTATTATACAGAAATATTTTCTTATAATGGTTTTTATTTTAGGACATCTAATTGTGCGCTAATTAAGTAACCAAACACAGGTTCTTATTACTTATACCTTTTTGTTATTATAAGTTTTCTTATGTTTCTTCTTGAATTTACTCTCCTTTATTGTCACACATAAAGTTGTACAGTAATACATTTATGAATAAATTGTATACAGTTACAAGCAACTGCCTAAATGAGAAACATATACTTCATTGGATGTTACTTCATCAATGTGGACTGGTAGGTCCTCTCAACCTGTATTTTTCTTATTTATGTCTTCCCATCAATTCATTTGTACATATATGCAAGGAGAGTTGTCCAATATGCCAGAGGCCTTTCTCTAGGTCATTTAAAGATATGTGGGTACCACTGCAACAATCTAACAGGTCATCTTTTATTTCTTCTTCTTTACATATGATTTCTTTTTACCAATCAGACATCTCTCTGATGATAGCTTATGTAATTCTTATGATTACATTCTACATTTATGTCCAACTCATTACTGCAAATATGCTGCAGCCTACCTAATGTCATATGTACCCCTCTCCATTGTATTTCAGATCACTAGTAATTTTGAACTTTCATGAATTGTTTTATTCCATAATTCA